TTTTTTTTTGGTTTTCTGCTAATGTGGTATATTTTCATGTCAAAGATATTTTTTTGGCTGCTGATGTAGTGCAACTGTGATTGATTTCGATTCATTTCTGTTGCGATTTTTAGGCAGCGGAATTGGTTTCATGCTTGAAACGTACAATGTCACGTGTACTGATCATAATTGTATCGCTTGGTTATGGTGTTGTGAAGCCACGACTTGGTACCACACTAAATCAGGTTGCTTATTCACTTTATGAGTTTTATTCCAGTTACTGTTATATACGGTTAGTTGATGTTAAGAGTTTGCTTTTGGTCGTTAAAACATACAAAGGGGAACAGTGGACGTGGGATTGTGGTTGTTAATATTAATATTATTATTATTGTCATTGTTACTATTATTGTTATTATTATCGTCGTTGTCATCATCATTAATATTATCATTATTATTATTATCATTATCATTAGTATTATTATCACCATCATTATCATCACCACTATTATTATTGTTATTATATTGTTGTATTGTTATTAATTTAATCGGTTCAGTAATTTGTTCATTTATTCCTGCTTTTCGTCACATTCTTTGTTTTTCAGATCGTTGTTGTGGGATTTTTTTATTTCATATTTAGCGCCGTGGAAGCTTTGGCTCGAGTGAGCAAGGTACATTTTTTTCACTTTTTTTTTTTCTCACACAATCAGTTTTTATTGTCCACTTTTTTCGGAGCACCCGAACTTCAAAATTATCGGTCAAGTTGCAAATCGCAGTAAAAATTGCTTACGTTTTACTTTTACTTGTCCTTATTGAAAGTACACCCGATTCGTGCACCAGAATATGGTATTTCAGAAGTTTCCATATGTTTGAAAAATTTTTTATAGAATCAAGTGGAAGGAATCAGGCAGAAACAGCTGGCCGCTTTACCGCTTGTATTAACTGAAATAGCAATATTTTGGTGGATTTTTACATCACTTATCAACACGATGCGATCACTGAGGGTGAGAAGAAATCTGGTGAGTTCTTGCTTATTCACTTAGCAATTTTTCAGAACTTCGGATTTTTTCACTGGCCGTCATATACTGCTTCTACGAATGGCAGTATATGATGGTTAGTGGAGAATTTTCAAAATTTTGAATTTTTTTTTACCCCAATCAGATTAATATTGAATAAATTAAACTATCAGGTGACGTACATACATCGAAAAGGCGACGAGTATTAACTGGATTTTGTAGTCCAGAACAGAAAAGCCTAACATACCTTTGGGCAGAGCTTAGGAGCATCTCAGTAATACTGCTGACTTGAAATACTGACACTGATGGGTCCTGCCGACTTTGGTTTTTCTGGTAATATTAAGGTTTCTCGTACGGACGTGTGAAAATTTTGGTGCGAAAATTATTAACTCGTAAAATTGGCAAGTGAAACGGCTGAAATTTTACGGGAATGTTCCTTGCCACATATACGAACACGTGGAATTTGACGTGATTCCGGTGGATGATTGCTACTGAAAGTGTATTGCCACTTGGGGCTTGGGTCATTTCTGAAGGCCATTTTCTGTCGTAGTGAAGTTCAGTGGAATTTTGATATTTCTGATTACTCATGTGTTTTTTGTGGTTTTACAGATCAAGCTCTCGGTGTATCGTCATTTCACAAATGCACTCTGTTTTGCGGCGCTAATTAGCGTGCTGTTTATGTGCTGGACCATTTATATTCACGATATGCAACGATGTCTTGTGGAATGGAAAGAGTAGTGAGTTAGTCTCTACTGTTCGCTGCATTCATCCTTCACACATACACATTCGCCTTTCGAAGGGCTAAGTGTTTCAGAAATTTTAAAGATGCAAACAATGAATATCTTTGGCTAGGAAGAAGGCGGGGGCCTGAAGTCTTCTATATGTTAACATACGCAATTTGTTTGGCGCTGTTGGCCCACCGTTGAAAAGGACACAGTCAAATTTTGAGTTATGAAAGAACTGGAAATGCCATTTAGATCTCCCAAATAAGCAATCCTGAAATGTACATTGAGCTGTTATCCTATCTGTGTTTCATCCCATGTTAAGCTGTGCTTTTTTACATCCGCTGGATATTCTTTTCTAGATATATTTCACCAAAAATTTCCAGTACATAAATCCAAAATTGTGTGCAGTTATTTTGGTTCGGCATTATTTCTCCGTGTTTATTGTTGTGGTGTTATTATTTTAGTTGGGTTGATACAGCCTTCTGGCACATTCTCTTCTGTTTGATTTTGGTCGTCATTATGATTCTTTGGCGACCATCACGTAACAATCAGCGTTATGCATTCACTCCGCTACTTGATGATAGCGAAGATGAAAATGATGAAGGTATTTTTTTTTAATATTTCAAAAAAAAAAAACATCAGGCTTTCCGGTGGGGCTAGATAAGTGAAAATCAGTAGTGTAGTTTAAAAAAATACCTGGATTGTTTTTTTTTTTTTGTCACACCAGTTGTCGAGAAAGGTGAAATAGTACGATTTTATGCTCTTTCCCAAATTTGTAGATGAATTGTTCAACACCAATTTTTATGCGATGGCTGGATTGAATCAGAGAACCGTTGGTGCGGGAGCCAGTGCCGAGGAAAATTCGGAGAGCAACAAAAAGAAAAAGGATAGTGACCAGAAAATACAGGTACTATAACATTCAGTGTTTTGTAACTTTGTGAAAACCACCAATTCTGTGTTTTTTTTTTCTGTTTCGCTTCAGACCAAACTTGTTATTTATCCATACTGTTTGTTACATATAGGTTTAGCCCACTCCAAACTTTGCAGGTTCATTCAGAAGTCCAAATTTCTGTTAATATATTTTTTCTTGGATTGCTCAGTTACTTTTTCCTCCTCCCCTCCCCGTACAGTGTATTTTTCTATTTTTTACGAAATTGTACACTTTTTTCCTGAATTATTGGAACATTTCTCAGTCACTTTTTTCGCCATATCGCCTTATATAATATATTTTCTTATAGCTTATTTATTCTTTTACCTTCCCACTATTTGTACTTATTAAATCTTCACATTTCTTAATCTCTCCCCATCCGTACTTCTTCAGTCACTTCTAAATATTATTTTTTAATAACCTTAACTCCCGCATATTGTCTGTAGATTTTGCATGTCTTTTTCCAGTTGCTCCTGTAGAGTGTGTCTGTGGCATTATTCCTAGTTTTGCACATTTATGTTCATTGGAAAAATATCTGTTTTTTTTTTTTTTCAGGCTGAGCTGAAGTGGATTGAGGACAACATCCCGAGTAGTTTTGCAGATCGATTACTTGTTGATGAAGAAGAGGACAGAGAGCGGAATGAATTGGAGCGATCCAAGATGCTTTAAGTGAAAGAAATGAGCGCCTACTCATTTAACTGATGTTGAGGAGCTGGACGAATTATGCCTGCTTAAAATTTGTCAAAGAAACACTTAAATTTTTGTGCGCGAAATCCTAGAAGAGATGGATTAAAGCTTCATCAAAATCTCATTAAAAGCTTCAATGACCCAGTGCTGTACCTGCTGTTGCTGTTACTGCTGCTTCTGATGCCATGTCAATTGGTCAGATTAGTACGACCGCAGAAATCTCAGAACAGTTGACAGAATTCGAAAATCGCAATTCTATTTTCTTAGTGGTATATTTCTGTAAAAAAGATATGAGTGGTAGTTTATTATATAAAAACCGCGATATTAGAGCTAAAGTATGTACCGGTGGATAGGTCCTGATGCCGTCAACGTTTCATCCCTTAGCTGTAAACACAGAAAAGAAACTGTACATTCGAATAGGAGTGGGAATCATCAGTAAATATACCACTTATATTTCTGTGTACGGTATATTGCTATAGAAGAACCAATCACTTCGTCTCTTGTTTTGAGAAATCACTATTGTTTTTTTTTTTTTTTTTATTTTTTTATAATCTACAGCGAATTTAAAGCGTTATTTGGCTTTGTTTATAGTACTGGAATTTGTTTTGACAAATTGCTTTAAATATACATCTTTGTGCATTTGCCCAAGCTACTCGCTCGTTTATTGTACACTTCATAAAATGCCGCCGGAATTTTTTATTATTATGCTATAATTCGAATGCACAGAGATGTGAACTAAATGCTAGAATCAAGGGATGAAAGACAGGAATGATGGAAGCGGCGGGTAGTAGAAAAGGGCGACAAACTATCCAAGTTTGATAAAATTCAACATCTTTCATGTTCTCTAAAAATCATCCATACGGGACCCATGTACGGTATGTTTGTAAAATAACCTGAAGTGATTTGATATGTAACATAGGAAAGTGTATAATAAACTATTCGTACAATCGTAGTGTACTTTGAGCAAGAAAATCTTAACGCGTCGTCTAAGGTATGTTTCTTGTTTTTTTTTTTGATCTCTGTTGCATTTTTTATTTTTTTTTACACCAGAACTTTTCCCTACTTTACATTCCTTGGTTACCCTTCTGCTTGGATGTTTTCGTCTGGTAAGAATAGCATTTCTTTTTTTTCTCTGGAAGCGACAGAGGAAGGGGAGGGCGAAGGCAGGGGAGGCGGAACGGAATGGGAGGAGGGGGAAGGGTAGGGGATTGACCTTAGAAAGAATTCGTCAGAGCTTTTTTGGAAGGTTTTTTTTAAGGTGCACTTATTAGAAAGCTGCACATTATGAGTGGAAATAATGAGAGGTATTACGCACTGTGCTGCTTTTATATCAAGGTCAAGGATTCGATTTCATCAGTGGATCAACCAGTCCCTCAGGTAATTTCGTCACCTGTTCGATGGTAAATTTATAATACACGACAGGGAGTTAAACTCATCATCAGCTTGCTTTGCAACGCTTAGAAAATGGAATCATTGACAGAGTGGTTGCTGCTGTTGCAGTGATTCCAGAAGTGCCTTTTTGTCCCTTGAGGGCCGAGGCGTAGAAGGGGTTTTGATTTTCATGCGTTTTTTACAGCAATGAAGTGCGGAAAACGCATACTGACGAGAGGTCGTCTGTGTGTCCGTGTGTCTGTCACGCACTTTCATCTCAGGACCTATAAAAGCTGCGGGGCTGAAATTTCGGGAACTT